GGCTGACGTTATTGCCTGTGCCGCTGGTAACAAAACGGATCAGCTCGGAATCGGAAAGAAGTGAGACCGATCACCGATCCGGGCCGATCATGAGGAAAATCGTCCGATTCCGATCCCTGGCCGATCGATCGGTGCATCTCTAATTTCTGTAGAATGATGTAATGATGCTGAACATTCAGCTTTGCCATCACAGGAATATATAATTTTTAAAAAATATATTAACATAGAAAACAGTTATTTTGAATTGTCTAATATTTTAGCAAAGAAATACAGCCTTGATGAGCATAAGAGACTTCTTTAAAATAAAATAAAATAAAAATTAAATTATTCCAAATGGGTAATGTACCTAAGGCCAATTTTGGTGCTAGTCACTTTTTCTGTAAGTTTGTGTGTTGCTTCAAAACAGGATACAAGGACACAATGAAAGACTGACCGGCTCTGGGACTTCAGCTGAAGCGTCCTTTTCACTCCGAGGTTTTTGTTCGTCCTTTGGCCGCTTAACGGCCGTCATCTTTGTTTTTACAACGACCTCCTGGGCACTGCCCTCCTGTTTGCGGGGTTTGACAGGCGGAAGGGGTTTGTCCTCCTCTCCTTTAGTAAACCTCTCATAGGGTAGGATGAGTCTGAGGGAAAGGAGGAAGTGATACAGGTTAGTAGAATCAGACTGATTCATCATCTGTTTGTACTTCTACTTTAAACATTCCTGTCTTTTTCCGTAACTGTTAATAATAATAACTGTTTCCTGCAGGCTTTATCTGTTATCCAAGACAAACTGAAATTGACTCATGCATGACATCATGAAACAAAAAGAAAAGTTTCCTTCCTGTGAACCACTGTTACAAAAAATGTGGTTTTGTTCACAATAGATGACTGTTTCTTCATACGGACACGTTTAACCCTATGGGCTTGTATGAAATATACTCTCTTAAAACACATTTTTAAAACTCATTGGTTTATTTTTAACTTTTTCAACCATCACGAACAAATTTCCAACACATCTCAAATCACCATTCAATATGTGATAGAAATTGCATTATTATATACAATAATGCCTTTTCAATAAAATGATTCATTTGTCTTGCTAAGGCTAATTTAATTGTTAGCATTTAAATATAAATATTCATAACCGCATTCATAACACACTTTTACAAATATATAGCTTGGCACACAATATTTACTTTGTTTTTTTATGTCAAGAATGCTCTTCACTGACATTGAATTAATCAAAATGATCAAACATGCAAAAATTGGGGTTATGTTGGAAATGATGTCTCAACTTAGATAAATAAGCACAAATCATTTTCACACCATAACTATTAAATTGGTTTATGTCGCTCTTTGTTTTGATTTTCATGATTTATAAAATAATAATAATAATAATATTAGAGTGTAATGTCATATTTTAAAGTCGGCATGAAATGTAAATTTTCGAAAAGCATGTTATCGATCTCGTCAACAATTCATCCATGCATGTTTATTTTATTTTATTTTTTAATTTTTCTATTACGCTCAAATATACATCACAATCCAGAATAAAAGATCTGTCACTACTTCAGTTTCATTATGAATTTATCACGACTTGAAATCTGTGTCTTAGTCAATGGTAAAACAATAAAATTTGTATATATATATTAAAGTCATGGTAAAAGTTTCCAAGACAGTTTAAAGTAAAAATCTGTTATTGTTAGTAGATGTAGCTGAAAGAATGGCCAGCTATGAACTCTTGCATGAGTGAATACACACAATGAGGCAAATAGGGAACAAATTGTGAATAATGCACGTGATCCTAATGAAAATGTACTTTTTCTGTAATGCTCCACATTCCGTTAGATCAGTACCTTCCAGAAAACTAAAAGTGAAGACTAATGAAAATCAAAGCCAAGATGACGGTAGATATGAAATTATGATTTACTTGAGAATGTTATTGGGAATAGAGGTAGACAGCAACATGATCTGCCTCTCTACTCTTGTAGCTTCAAGTTTTTATAATGTGTCCGATGTGATTAATGAGTCTGGCTGGGAACTCTTGGAGGCATGCGGAATCATAAATATATCCTCTAGTACACCAGTCCTAATCCAAATACATTTCACATCTCGTGCATCACGATACACGAATGCAAAAAAGAAGCGGTAGGCGAAGTCAAACATAAATATGATGGAGACCGCTAAAAGCGACAGACTGCTCTATTACAATTATTTGTGATTTTTTTGGTGCTTTTTTTTGTGTGTCTACAACTTCCCTCTTTATCATTCCCTTCATTCTTGTTTAAAGGGGTCATATGATGCGATTTCAATTTTTCCTCTCTCTTTGGAGTGTTACAAGCTCTTGGTGCATAAAGAAGATCTGTAAAGTTGCAAAGACTAAAGTCTCAAATCCAAAGAGATATTCTTTATAAAAGTTAAGAGTCAACCACGCCTACCTAAAACGGCTCGTTCTAACACGCCCCCACATGTCTACGTCACGATGTGCGAAGATTTGCATAACACCGCCCAAATGTTCACACAAAGAAAGAAGGAGTAACTTTTATTCTCGCTGTAATATTGAAAAGTGAAAAGTGAAAAAGTGAAAAGTGACGTGACATGTGGCCAAGTATGGTGACCCATACTC